GTGACTGGTCACTTTATATTTTTTATCAGAATATTAGTGGCCCATAGGGCGTCTGTCTATATGATGTCTATGGCTGAAACTACCAAATGTAGACGTTCTGACCTGGAAAAGGAAGTAAAACAGCACGAGATGCAGATGCGAATAAAATTATCCAGTGTTTTTCTTTCCACAATATTTTGAAAAGTCATCAAAACATTGGTCTCGTACAGCGGAGAAAAAAGATGAGAGCCCTTGTTGGCACTGTAGCCACAAGCACTTAAAACCAGGCTTCCCCATATCTCATGAAATGTCTTCAAATACGGATTTATTTCTTTAAAGCTGCAATACCTAAGATTTAGATGCCGCTAGAGGGCGCTACATTCAAAACAACAACAACGGCTTTGCTTGATGACGAAGTGGAGGAACACGGAATGATGGGAACTGTTGTTTTCAACTCCACCGTGGATAAATCAGTCAGACGGGAATCGAAAATTAGTTGTCATGGATGAGGTAAAGTTCGATTTCTATAAACGTTGCGTTTAATGACATGCTTGTTTTTCATTAAACTGAAATAACCGCAAGAAAAGTCAGGTTTAAAAGTAAATTAGTTACTGTACGAGTCACTGGACGAAGCTATGGTGGAGAGGGTTTGAAGGGGCAGGTCTCTTGCAAGGAGTTGACGTGGCTGGTCCTCCTTGGTAACTTTATAAAAATAAAAAATCAATTTAATGTACATTTGACACATCTTTTCATGTCGTGTAAGTATTCAACCACAGCAACAGTTTCACAAAATTAACGTTAAGGGGGGTCGCACACCGGACGAGAAGCTGCAGCGCCGCGTCGCGCCACATCTTTAAAATTCGAAAACATTATTATCTATAAGTGTAACGTTACACATACCGGCAGCGCCATTCGGCGTCTGTCCGCGGCGCCCAGCAACAACGCCTCAGGACCGTGTTCAAAATCCTGCTGCGCCACAGAGCGCCATTTGCATAGTTTTATATAAAATTTTAATTATTTTTGTCTCAAATCGTTGCAAATGGATCCTGACTTCGCCCTATGCTGCAATATGCATTTAGTTTTGCAGTGATTTACAGAAATCAGCTGCTTGAATGACAATTGCTGATGTTATTATTAGATTTTTCAGGTGAGATTCTCAATTCATTCAGTGAACGGATTATCTGAGGTAAAGTTTTCAGAATGCAAACTCAGCAACGATTGTATTTAATTGTACAGTACAATCATAACATAGAACAGACATTATCTTCATTTAATGTCATTAAACATAACAATATTGCTGGCCATACACTGATGAGAAAGTGCGCGTCCGGTGTTCGATAACGTTACTGTGGAGTTGTCCTAAACGTGGCGCGGCGCTTCTCGTCTGGTGTGTGACCCCCTTTACAGCCAACAGTTCACATTCCGAGAATAAATGAGAAGAATAATTGTGCTCCATTCCATAACAAATGTGCGAAACAAGCTGACGTTTGTTGCTTGATAGACGCTAACGCACAACTACAACTACCGCATTTGTCCAGGACTACACGTAGTACGAGCGGAAACCGAGGTAAGCGGATATGACGCGATTGACTGGCGACTCCCAGCTCGCCCCTGCTCATACGCCCCGTTTCCTTGGTTAAATCAATTTTCTCGCGATTTAAACATTGTTTGAAACATTTGGAATATTGTGAGTTATCATCATAACTAAATATATAACACTAGCCTTGTGATTTTGGGATATTTGAATGCAAAAATCTTAGGTATTCCACCTTTAACAACCCTGCATTTTTGCCTGCACTGTCTCTACACCCCAAACACTCAAAAGACATGAAACCTCCGCATTGCTCCACTGTGTGTATCCTTTGTCCTCCATCGCGCCTATAAGTCCCCCTGAGTTGATGTCACTTTTTTAATGACATACGACTCACATGGGGAATATCCGATTTGTCTGCTTACATGGCACACGCAAATTCGCATATCCAATTCATACCCGATTTATTACCACAGTGAGGCCTGAATCCGATCTGAGAAAATCGTAATCCATGCGTTTTTTTTCTTGCTTACACGTTCACCGGTCATTTACGATCTGTGCCAAATGAGAGGAAAAAATGGGATTTGGGTCACTTTGAACCATGCAGTGTAAATAGGGCCAAATTTTGAAGTCTTTTTGTTAAACCGATTCCCCCGTTTGTTGCCATAGCGATTTATTTTCCACACCTGTTCCTCCACCTTCCTCCGAAAACAGCGCCATCTTGTGGCAGGTAAAATTTATAGCAGCCATAACCTGAGTGCACCCCGCCCCACCCCACGTTGTTTTTGTTTTATTCCTAATAATAATAAAAGCCTTCTCTGCATCTTTGAGTCTTTGCCTCATCCCTTCACCCAAACCTAACATGGTGAGCATAAAAGACTTTCAAAAACATTTTTAAAAGACCCCAAACTTTTGTACAGTATAATGTATTTCTACACAAATGTTCTTTTGGACATATCAGACTTTAAACGAGAATGCAATAAACATTGCCGGAATACGGACAAAATATTTTTGCAAACTCTGAAATAGTTTTCGAGTGTTATTAACTTCACTGTGTGACATGTTACTTGCCTCATCTGCATTCTGCAAAGATATCACCCAGAGAAACTCAACTGTCAAACTCAGTGATGTGAGTGGAAAATGAGCAGATATCTTGTGGGAAGTCTTGTGGAAATCATTCCTATCATTTTCCCAGATGGAATATTTTTATTCCCTGTTTAACTTTTGCTCTCTAAAAGCCTTTCCTTCTGCTTGAATAACCCTAGCTCTCCAGCCCAGAATCAATCAGAATAAGTACTCATGAACCAACAGCCTGGCATGTCAGAGCACTCTGTGCATGTTCTGCTGTTGTCATGGAGCAAATTCTGTCCCTATAGGATCACGAAATCACATTATTACTGAAGCATCATCATCATCTACCCAGTGCGAAACGCTCTTCCATTTTAGTGGTAACAAACCCTTAGCATTCTTTTACAAAGAGTACTGAAAATAATTTACTTGTTTGAAACGTTGTATCTATGTTTTCGACCCTTAACTGCTTGTTAACTGCAATTAAATTAATATAAATATAAATGCAATAGCTAAAACTTTAAAGAGTTTGGACTTTAGCATATCTTTATATGTTATTTTTTTAATTCATTTATTGCCTTTGAAATATGGTTAAAGCATACTGCCAAGTGTACTGACAATAATTTAAATGGATAGTTCACCCCAAGTAAGTTGTTCCAAACATGGATGAATTCTTCAGCTGAACACAGAATAAGATTTTGAAGAATGTGGATAGCCAAACAGTTAATTGTAGCCATTGATTTCCATAGAATTTTTTTTCCCTATTATGGAAGTCAATGGCTTCAATTTGAAGCAACTTGGAGCAAATGATGACAGAATTTGTATTTTTAGGTGAACTATACTACTATAAATATAAACTTAAATGTAATTTCTTTTCTGACTTTTGTCATGTATTTAAATAGATTTCTAAGTACACATTTGTAGTAATTAGGCTGCAATGTAGTACATTTAAAATGTTAACTTCAAACTTGACTTAAAGGGTTAGTTCACCCAAAAATGAAAATTAAGTCATTAATTACTCACCCCCATGCTGTACCAACCCCGTAAGACCTTCGTTCATCTTCGGAACACAAATAAAGATATTTTTGATTAAATTTGAGAGCTGTATAACTACCACATTGGCTCCTAAGGGACTGCCTCTTGACGGCCCAGAAAGTCAATGAAGAAAATGTTTAAATATCCCAAGTGACTACCGTGGCTCAACTATATGTTTATCAAGCGACGAGAATACTTTTTGTGCGAAAAAACAAACAAAAATAACGAGTTTATTCGACTATTCCTTTTCTTCCTTGTAGGCCAGAAACGAGACTTCCTTCGATTTCCACGATGCATGCGCGAGAACTGAACTGAAGTAGTGTAAGGAGATCGCAATTCTCGCGCATGCGTCGTGGAAATCTAAGGAAGTCTCGTTTCTGGCCTACAAGGAAGAAAAGGAATAGTCGAATAAACTCGTTATTTTTGTTTGTTTTTTCGCAGAAAAAGTATTCTCGTCGCTTGATATACATATAGTTGAACGAAGGTCTTACGGGGTTGGTACAGCATGGGGGTGAGTAATTAATGACTTAATTTTCATTTTTGGGTGAACTAACCTTTAATAACACACTACAGTTAAAATTGTAATCAAGTATGTCACAGATAGCCTGTGACCTATGACTTTTATTTTGAAAGGACTGCTGAAGTACATGTACACCAATTAACAGTTTACATCATTATACAACCACACACAATCCAGATGCCGGCAAAATAACATCATATATATATTTATTGATGTGTGGTTATTTCTCTGTTTAGTTGGTGTAATAACCTCTGCTTTGTCCTACAGTTTTGTTTAAATAATTTTCTTTCTTTTTGGGTTGTTGTGTTACAATGCTTAATGTTTTCTCTTGTTTTGTTGTATGATTTAACATTCAAAGAAACCACACCAAATTCTTACAAATGTAAACATTTTATTATAACAAACTAACATATACACATAAAATACCGTAGTACTCACATGGTGGGTCAATTCTCAACTGGCAAACCCATGTGCAGCGATGGCTGCCATTTTAAAGTCTTCATCTGCCCAGTAGGAAGGGAAATTCCATTGTCAGTGACATCACAGGGGGAAATCTGGGAAACTATCATGTCTCTGGCATTTTTCTTCTCAATGTGTAAGCAACACTTTGTAATTACTAATGTGATGCTTAGATTGTGTATTAATATCATTTGTTTGAAGTATTTGTATAGTTTTATCTTACTTTGAAATTGTCATTTACTTCTACATGGGATGTTCCAGAAGTGGGAGGAGCCTAACTATATAAAAGGGCTTCTGGTAGCCATTTTGTGGAGTGTGTTTTTGGAGTGTGGCATTACTCCTTGTATTTTGGGCCTTGATATTGGCATAGCTGGAATACAGACTGCTAGATTTGTATAGTTATTTTTGCCTTAGTTTGTTTTGTTTTGTTTTTCATTGTATATATTTTTGCTGGGAATCACGATTTTTGCACCAAAATAAACACCCTGGACTGAATTATTCTACATCGTCATTGATTTTACACCCTCACCGCCGGTACACCCTAACAAGTGGTGTCAGAAGTGGGATAAGTACCGGTCAAGTGACGTATGGGAAGATTGCCTTGGCTGTCATGCCTCCCAAACTAAGGAGTCAGCCTGGGGAAGGCACAGTTCAGGATGTGGACCAGGGTGCCATAGGAGGTGACCCAGAGGCAAGTGAGCAACCTGCTGAGGTTCCGTCTGCTGGAGGGGATGCTGCAGTTATGGCTCTTTCACGGATGTTTGAGTCCTTCATGCGGTATCAGCAAGAGCGGGATGAACGGCAGGAACGAGAAACAGTTAGACGAGAGCAAAACTACAAAGTTCTCGGTCATCAAGTCACCCAAATGCAGCTGGATATGGAGCGTTCCCGACTTTCAGGTACAGATCGTGAGGGGGCAGCTGCCAGGGTTAAAAGCCAGGAGCCAAGATTGGCCAGGCTTGAGGACAATGATGACATAGAACACTTTTTGACCACTTTTGAGAGACTGGCGGAAGTTTACCAGTGGCCGAGAGAAGAATGGGCCATACGCCTAATACCCCTGCTTACAGGCAAGGCCAGGAGTGCTTTTGTGGCCATGAATCCATCCTTGACACAGGATTATGACCAGCTGAAGGAAGCCATACTGAAAAAGTATGAGATCAGCACTGAGACCTATCGGTTAAGATTCCGTTCATTAACTACCCCTGTGAATGAGTCACCCCAAGAACTCTACACTCGTCTTAAAGATCTGTTTTCCAAGTGGGTCCAGTTCAACCAGAGCAGCAAAGACAACATTATGGAGGCTATGGTGCTTGAACAGTTTCTGCGGGTGTTATATCCAGAGGTGAGGACCTGGGTCAAGGAACATAATCCAATCACTGCTGGGCAGGCTGCTAACCTGGTGGAGGCCTATATTTCTGCAAGGAAGGGTTCAGGACATTTCCAATATGCTGGCGTCCTGCAGGCCACCAAGGGTAAGTCTGAGGGTATGGGGGCGTGGTCAAGCTCTAAAAGCCAAGCTAAGATTCTGAAAGCAACATACAGTGAACCCACAACATCTGTTTCCCTACCTCAACCCATAGTCAAAAGTGAAGTTGTGTGTTTTAATTGTGGTGAGCCAGGGCATACTAGACCACATTGTCCCTTGAAAAAGCCTAAGACAGCAAGTCTTTGTTACGTTCCACGGCTAGTACCGTATGCAACTCCTAAACGTGATTTAGAGCCAGTTGTCACTGTTTTGTTGAATGGGAAACCACTCCCAGCTTTGGTAGACACAGGTTGTGCCCACACATTGGTAGAGGCCAAATATGTACCCCGAGATAGCTGGAGTGAGGAGGAAACTGTGACTGTTTGCTGTGTCCATGGGGACAGTACTAAGTTGCCAAAAGCTGAAGTCTACATTGAAGTGCATAGTCAGCCATATCTTATGAAGGTTGGAGTAGCTCAGAGACTGCCATACCCCATTTTGCTAGGCACAGATTTGCCAGTGTTGGTTGATTTGTTACAGGAGACTGCATGGTGTGGAATAGTAACAAGGGCTCAGGCTAAGAAACAAGAACAGAACACACCATTCCAAGAAGCTGAGGAGGCACTGCAATCCATGCCTTTTTTTTCTGAGGATATTGTCCCAGGGCCAAAACCTACAGCAGAGGATAGGCTGCAGCTACGTAGAGAGTGTGTGGAAAGTTTGATGGGGACCACAGAACAAGCTGAGGTAGAGGCCGAGGAACCTGACTTGAGTGATATAGACCTTGTCATTCCAAATAATCTAGCTAAGCTCCAGAATGATGATTCCACCTTAGCTGACTGTTTAAAGCAGGCACAGAATAAGGTAGATGTTTCTTTGGACGAGAGGTTTATACTGGATAATGGACTCTTGTACAGAGAAAGTAAAGAAGACGGGATGCAGTTGGTTGTACCCCAGACACAGAGAAGGGAGGTATTAGAGCTAGGACACTCAATTCCCTGGGCAGGTCACTTGGGATTTATGAAAACCTTAATGCGGATTGCAAAGAGGTTTTATTGGCCCAGAATGTACAGTGATGTGAAGGAGTTCTGTAAGACATGCCCTGAGTGTCAGCTTGCTGTTGGTCACACCCCTGCTCATGCCCCACTTATTCCATTACCTGTTGTGGACGTTCCCTTTGAAAGAATAGGGGTGGATATAGTTGGCCCACTGGAAAGAAGTCAGGCAGGGAACAGATTCATTTTAGTAATTTGTGACTATGCTACAAGGTACCCTGAGGCTTATCCCCTTAGAGAGGTCACTGCCAAACAGATATCCACAGCCCTGTTGAGATTATTTTCACAAGTGGGCATACCCCGAGAGGTTCTCACAGACCAAGGACCCAACTTCATGAGTCATACCCTACACCAGGTATATCAATTGCTAGGGATTAAGAGAGTCCGAACCACCCCGTATCACCCTCAGACTGATGGGCTGGTCGAGCGTTTTAACCAGACCCTAAAAGCCATGCTCAAAAAGTTTGTCTCTGAAACGGGCAGAGACTGGGACAAGTGGCTGCCGTTCCTTCTTTTTGCCTATCGGGAGGTACCCCAGGCCTCCACAGGATTCTCGCCTTTTGAGCTCCTTTATGCCCATCCGGTGAGAGGTCCCTTGGATGTGCTGAAAGAGAGCTGGGAAGACACACACAAGTCCAGTAAGCAAAACATTCTGACTTATGTCCTCAAGATGAGAGAACAACTCCAAAAGACCACAGCTCAAGCCCGAAAGAACTTGCTCCATTCCCAAGCCCAGCAGAAAGAATGGTATGACAAAGCAGCCCGAACACGCAGTTTCAATCCTGGTGATAAGGTCCTCTTGTTGTTGCCAACTTTGGAAAACAAGTTGTTGGCGAAGTGGCAAGGTCCCTATAAAGTAAAGCGAAAAGTTGGTCCAGTGACTTACGAAATCGAGATTCCTTCCAGACGCCAGCCTTTGCAGGTATTCCACATCAACATGCTAAAGAAATGGCATTCCCGTATACCACCATCAGATATGGCTGAAAGCACAACAGCCCCAGTGATGGACAACGCTATGTTTGTGAGAGCAGTATCAGAGGAGGAGGAGATTGAAGAGCAATACATCCCTGGACATCCAGAGAAGAGCGAGCTAAATCTCACTCACTTGACGGAGAAACAGAAACAGCAGTTGTTGGGATGCTTACCTGACCGTCTTTTCATGGATTCCCCTGGTAGGACAGACCTGATTAGTCACTCCATCTTCCTGAATGACCCCAAACCCATCCGACAGCCTGTCTATCGTGTACCTGAAAGACTGCTGCCAAGGATGAAAGAGGAGCTAAAGACCATGCAGAGTCTTGGAGTAATAGAACCATCCACCAGTGAGTGGAGCAGCCCTATTGTGCTGGTACCAAAGAAGGATGGCACTATCCGGTTCTGCCTGGACTTCCGTAAACTGAACAGTGTCAGTAAGTTTGACCCTTACCCCATGCCGAGAGTGGATGAACTTGTTGAAAGACTTGGAAGAGCAAAATACCTCAGTACGTTAGATCTCTGCAAGGGGTACTGGCAAGTTCCATTGAAGCCAGAATGCAAGGAGCTGACAGCATTTAAGACCCCATTTGGACACTTCCAGTTCCAAGTTCTCCCATTTGGACTTCATGGAGCTCCAGCAACATTTCAGAGAATGATGGACCAGATTCTCCAAGGGACGGAAATGTTTGCTGCAGCCTACTTGGACGATATTATAATCTTTAGCCAAAGCTGGGATGAACATCTTGGGCATCTCCAAGAGGTGCTAAAGAGGATAAAGACTGCTGGATTGACCATCCGCCCAGACAAGTGTAGCCTGGCCAAGGCTGAGACCCAATACCTGGGGTATGTGTTGGGACATGGGGTGGTCCGACCCCAAGTTGGTAAAATTGAAGCCATTAAGAATGCTGAGAGGCCTATGACCAAAAAGCAGGTACGGTCCTTTTTGGGACTGGTTGGCTGGTACCGGAAGTTTGTACCTAACTTCTCAGCCCGGGCAGTTGCCCTGACTAATCTCACCAAAAAGTGTCACCCAAACAGGGTGAATTGGACTATGGACTGTGAAAAGGCTTTCCAGGATTTGAAGGACTCGTTGTGTAAAGAACCACTGCTGCAGAGTCCTGACTTTGAGCAGCTGTTTACTGTGCAGACTGATGCTTCAGAACATGGCCTTGGAGCTGTGCTGTTACAGGGTGAACAAGGACATCTTAAACCCATTGCTTATATTAGCAGGAAGCTCCTTCCCAGGGAGACAAGATACTCAACGGTGGAGAAGGAATGCCTTGCAATTAAGTGGGCGTTAGACTCTCTGCGATATTATTTGCTGGGACGCAAGTTTCGGCTAGAGACTGACCATCGGGCATTAGCCTGGCTGGGCAAAATGAGGGACACAAATGCCCGAATAACTAGGTGGTTTCTAGCCATTCAGCCCTTTGATTTTGAAGTGCTGTACAGGAAAGGAGCACAGAACTGTACTGCGGATTTTCTCTCCAGGACACCTCAAGAGGTGTCAGGAGAGGGAGGGAGAAATGTCACAGATAGCCTGTGACCTATGACTTTTATTTTGAAAGGACTGCTGAAGTACATGTACACCAATTAACAGTTTACATCATTATACAACCACACACAATCCAGATGCCGGCAAAATAACATCATATATATATTTATTGATGTGTGGTTATTTCTCTGTTTAGTTGGTGTAATAACCTCTGCTTTGTCCTACAGTTTTGTTTAAATAATTTTCTTTCTTTTTGGGTTGTTGTGTTACAATGCTTAATGTTTTCTCTTGTTTTGTTGTATGATTTAACATTCAAAGAAACCACACCAAATTCTTACAAATGTAAACATTTTATTATAACAAACTAACATATACACATAAAATACCGTAGTACTCACATGGTGGGTCAATTCTCAACTGGCAAACCCATGTGCAGCGATGGCTGCCATTTTAAAGTCTTCATCTGCCCAGTAGGAAGGGAAATTCCATTGTCAGTGACATCACAGGGGGAAATCTGGGAAACTATCATGTCTCTGGCATTTTTCTTCTCAATGTGTAAGCAACACTTTGTAATTACTAATGTGATGCTTAGATTGTGTATTAATATCATTTGTTTGAAGTATTTGTATAGTTTTATCTTACTTTGAAATTGTCATTTACTTCTACATGGGATGTTCCAGAAGTGGGAGGAGCCTAACTATATAAAAGGGCTTCTGGTAGCCATTTTGTGGAGTGTGTTTTTGGAGTGTGGCATTACTCCTTGTATTTTGGGCCTTGATATTGGCATAGCTGGAATACAGACTGCTAGATTTGTATAGTTATTTTTGCCTTAGTTTGTTTTGTTTTGTTTTTCATTGTATATATTTTTGCTGGGAATCACGATTTTTGCACCAAAATAAACACCCTGGACTGAATTATTCTACATCGTCATTGATTTTACACCCTCACCGCCGGTACACCCTAACAAAGTACTTTACATGTGCTTTAGTATGTTAGTCATCAAAATAAATGCACTTCTTTAAAGCATGACAATGTACTTTTATTTAAAAAATATATAATATTACTGTTCTCTTTATAAAATTATCAAAATTGTGAAAGTGCACTCTCACTTAAGTACACCTAAGTGGCCTTTTATTTAATTAAAATTATATCTGCAAGTACAGTTTCTATTTAAAAAAATACTTTTAAGATTTGAAGTACACTACATGTGCGCATCCCGTACAATAAGAAGTGTATACATGATTGCTCAGTTCATATCACCACCATACTCAAATATCATAACAATAAGATCTAAATCTTGCTTAAAAGTCTCCTATCCTGTGCGGCTTTCATTTACGATCATCATGTCTTAACAGTTTTTCAATCAACCCAAGAGGAACCCAAATTCATTAGAGCCCTATTCATGTGAGAGGACCTTCCCTAAGGCTCAAGGACGAGCACACAATCAGCCATTAAAAAAAAAAAAAAAAAACACTGTGGGGGAAACAAACAATCTGAAAATACAAAGTAGGGAAGACAAAGCATATGCCTCTTTTTGCCTGACCTCTACCTGATTTAGAGCTTACAGCTGCACAAAACAGAGGACAAATGCGCACAAGGCATAAATATATACAGCGCTAGCCTCGGTGTGTCAAACTGACATGGTTAATGGCTGAAGCTCTTATATAGTGACACTACAATGTGCTTCTTCTGCAGTATGTCCCCTCTCAAGGGGTCTTTGCAGAAGCCTTCAAAGCCAAAGACCATTGCTATGTAGCCGAATCCATCCTCTACATAGGGAGTGGGATCATAAAAATAGCCCTTCTTATTCACAAACAGAAATGCATCTGACTCTTTCTGCAACATCTGCAAAACTCTTAAAACTGTCTTTTTTGTATCTGCAGGCAGGCTGGAACCTTTCTTTAGTCTTGACATTCAGAAAATGATCGAGCCCGGCCGGTTCACTGAGGAGCAATTGTGAAGTGTAACTCTGAAATGGCACATTTCAGATGAGCCAAATGTTCTCCATAAGTTGAATGTCACTGAGTGTGATTTAGAGGGAGAGATTGGCTTACAGAGTTGGCAGGCGGACTCAGGTTGGCCTCCACGTAGGTCTCCGTCTTTGGTTCCACTGCCAGTTCGGCATCCAGAATCTTCTCCACGGGCATGTCCTCGTTGGCACAGCTGCCGAATTCAGCCTCGCTCCGCTCCTTCGCCCGCTGCCGCTCCTCCTGAACGGCTGCACATGTGCACATACAAAAATTAGAATGGCTTGCATGTGCGACATGTACGGTTACATACACAAACAAAACCGTGACCTTGCGCACAATAACACCCAGCTGCTTTTGGTTTGCTCGTAATCTACACATTTCCACAAAAACGGCTCGGGCCGTTTTTCATCGAGCTGCAAATGCATCCAGCCCATTATTCATCAGCTTCAGAGGCTAAAAGTTGAGGAGGTCATTCTACGTATGGAGTGACGTTATTAGTCATACATTCTACTTTTTAAAATATGTATATTTCATTTGGGTACTATCCAGTGCAAACATGATTCTGTACAGTCTATGGACAAATTCATGGGCCATAAAACCATCCTTCTAAAACTTTCGGTCAAACGATTAGTTATGCAGGTTGACAATGTATCGGTGTGTGTGTGTGCCACATTTGGGCGAGCATCTGCGTGTTGTGTACACAGCGCACACGTTTGTTTGGCCTGGTTTAGAGGGGGAGCCAGGTCTAAACCACACAGTCGGTCTACTGTGGTCTGGACCTGGTGGAAATGAGCCCCGTCTGCCTCGCCATCAGGCTGTGGAACATTTCAGCTTTCCCTTCTGTCTGTAAAAGCCCTGTTTTATGACTCTCTCTCTCTATTTCTCTCTGTTCGGCAGAAACCGCTAGCAGATCATGAGGGGAATTCTTGAGTAGGAGCAGCAGAGAGCCGTGGAGGTCAGCTGAAGGATAAAGCTTTTCTCCAGGAGTCACTGAGAGGTGAGGAGAGAGGCACAAGGAATTATTTTAGCTTTATTGTCCTCAGAAACAGAAAGACAGAGAGACTGGCTTGTGGGGGAGAAGTGTGTCAGGTTACCTCTCTCTCAGAGGCCTCAGTATAGGGGGTCCAGGCCTCACGTTCAAGGCCATTACCTAACGTTTTAGGATCAGGTTTATTCTTCATGACTTTTTCTACTCTTCTGAGAACAGATTATAAACAATATTGATAGCACAACATGACGACCCAGATAGCAAACTGACATTGAATCAACGTGGAAATATGACATCGAAACAACGTTGATCTGACATTGTTTTGCTCATCGAATTAACGTTGAACCAACGTCAGACGCGTCATTCTTTCAAAACTAACGGAAAATCAACTTGAAATCAACGCGTTGTTTCAACGTTATGAAAGCAAACCAATTTTCGATTTTCATTTAGCTTTGAAGAATGCCGCGTCTGACGTTGGTTCAACGTTAATTCGATGAGCAAAATCAACGTTGTTTCAATGTCATGAGAGACGTTGTTTCCACGTTGATTCAATGTCAGTTTGCTATCTGGGGAACTTAACACACTTCAACTTTCTTCCATTAAAAAAAATGCCACAATCCAATTTGTGTCTGATATAAAGCAATGGATAAATTCAATCAGTTTTCACACTAAACTTTACTTTGTATCACACTGTAATGATACTGTACACTGCTGGTTGTTTACTGTGATTTCTTTTTTCTACAGTGTGTTTTTGGTAGTGTCCTGGATAGAAGGAATGTTATTAGGATGCATATTAGTCATATTTCTGAAAAGTGCATCCCTGCTTTGTGATAAAACAAAAGGATAAAGCTTCAATTATATCTAGCTACTGGCCTTTAACTAGGTCAGAACAACATGTTAAAAATAGTTTAAAGGAACAATAAGAGGTTCATTTTAAAATCAGTCGTTTGACATTTATTATTACTATTTTCATACACGCATCCTTGATTAGGACCCTGGATTAATAAATAAATAGCATACTTCTCAACTATTGAAATGTTATCATACTGGACATGTAATATTCTGAATGCACTCTAAATAAATTACATGTAAGCCTACATTCTTTTCCCACTATTCTCTAGTGGAAATGCTGGGAAAACAATCTCTAGCCATTTAATTCAATTCCTTTTAGATGATTCTAGACTTAAACTGCATAATTTAATCAACACATTAATGAATCTCATTCATTTCCTTGACAGCAGCATACAGTGCAATGAACTGCAAATTGTTGGTCATTAGTGCTTTCAACCACCATGTGTTGATAGTTTATTTATCTTAAGTCTGTAAAATGATCTCCTCCAAAAATGTGTTCCATTGATATTTTGACTTTTCAAAACTTACTCTGTCTCATGTCTCATTTGGACATAAAAAATGGAACATTATATTTTAAGAAGCTGGAATATTTGGTCTGTTCGACCAAGTTAAAGGGATAGTCCACCCCAAAATGAAAATTATCCCATAATAAATAACTCCAACTGTGTTCGGCTGAAAGAAGAAACTTATATAAAGGATGGCTTGAGGATGAGTAAAATATGGGATAATTACATTTTTTGGGTGAAACATTCCTCCTTTAATGAGTATATGTCCCCATCCATAGTCCGAATATGACTAAATTCTGATATAATTCAGAATTGTCATGTGTTCAAAGAAAAAAGCAACGCACCTTCTCTCTTCATTCCCATGGCTAAGCACTTCTGATAGCGGCAGTATTGGCAGCGGTTGCGTTGCCGTTTGTCGATTAAACAGTCCTTGTTGTCTCGGCAAGTGTACGTCAAATCCTTTCTCACCGTTCTCTTGAAGAAGCCCTTACAGCCCTCACAGCTGTACACCCCATAGTGTTTACCTGCCGGCAGACATATGCTTTAGTAGGGTTCCCAGCAGGGTTATCTTTAATTGGCATTTGATTTCAATAATTCAATAGCCACATCTGTTTTGTCACACATTACTCTGAAAGACAGATTATAGAGTGACCAATATTATGACTGCAGTTTAACAAGTACAATAAAGCATATTATTAAACAGCTCTTTTCAGCCACTGCATTCTTTTCCTCCAGATTGTCTTCTTTGTTTATTATGTTCTACTCTAACATTATGAATACTGTGGATTTGAGGCCTGTTCACCCACAATAATTGACGATATATCCCATTAATTATTCACTGGAATATTTGATATATTACTAAAGAGATATTTAATACGTCCGTTATATAACTGCGGAAATAATCGTGGTTATTCATGGTCTGTGGTAGTAATTTGTTAATGATTTTACACTTTTAAATGTCCTTTTAATGTTCGATGATTGAAGGGTGAATAGAATAATGTTCTCATAATGTAACCAGATTTTGAAAATGTTTATTTTTGTGTTCATAGAGTGAACCTATCACCTATTGCTGATAGATTATTATGCTGGTTTAGCTATTTTGTTCTTCTAATGCAGTGCATGAATAAATTTTTTTTTAAAAAAATCATCTAGGTGTGTGTGTACGTGTGTGTGTCACCTGATGAACGGTCTCCGCAAATGGCACAGATGTGTTTTGTGAGGGAGAGGGATGTGCCTGTGGGCTGTGCCGGGACCTTCATCATCCCGTTCAGACCCAGAGGGGGTTTAATGTCCTCCGAACTACTGACTGCATTCATGGGCGAACTGAGCTTAAAAAAAAAGATTAAAAAACAAGATATTAGATATCAAATTATTCCAAGCTGATAACTGAATCAACACACTGAAGCCACCAAAGGAAATTATCTGATCAAAAAAATACAGTAAAAACTGTAATATTGACAAATTTCCTATTTTTATGTTCAATATTCATGATACATTTCAGGATTATTCTGATAAATAGAAAGTACAAAAGACCAGAATTTAGTTGAAATATAAATCATTTGTAACATTATAAATGTATTTTTCTCCCTCACTTGTTGATCACATTGCATCTTTGCTGAATAAAAGTATTTATTTCATTTAGAATTAAACTTGAATTTCTTACACACCACTAACTTTTAAATGGTAGAGCAAAATTCCACATAAAAAAGTGTCTGTTGGAATGGAATCAATTACATGTGAAATTTATTCTTAACTGCCCAGAACAAAAGTCATGAAAAATGTGATGATTGATGAGCCGACCTGTGAAAGACACAACAGACACACCTCCAGGAAACATTACCACGAAAGAATGTTCACTATGTTTTTCTTTGGTAATTCGTGAGGGACTGATACATGAAACTATACAGCTTCCTGAAGAGAGGAAAACATTAAAGTCATTCACCAATGAAAGTTCTAAACTCTTCCTAACAAAAAAAAAAAAAAAAAAAAAAGAAGCAAAGTCTGATATACGAGTCAAGTATTCAAATATCCAATAGTGTTGAAATGTCAAAATATTTTGAGGCAGACAGCAGACTATTGTGTTCATTTAACAAAAACCCTCTCCTGGCATTTCCACACCTTAAATTGTGTCAGCATTTTTTAGTTTGCCCTATCAAAGACGCAGTCTGACTCATGACAAATGTTTCTGGTTTACAACACATCCCCACAACTGAGGTCAGGACTAGCAGATATTACATATTGTCCTGCATACAGACTCTCCAGGACACACCAGCCCATTTTTGAGCGTTGGCCGGCTTTAAAGGGTCTACTGACATCATAGTTAGCATTGCACAATGGCATGCTTTAACATGGAGATTTCAATCCTGATTTATTACTTCTACAGGTATGGAAAACATATAAATGTGACCTAAATTTGTTTAATAAGATCCTAACAGCTTACCTCTTGAGTAAAGAAATACAACAAATCTAAATGCAAATCCAGCCCAATGTACATGTAAAACTGTGCCATGTGCATACATACTGAAAACAAAAGAACTTCCAACGTGATTGTGATAGTAAAGGAGTGGCAGTAACCCAGATATACACCACTAAGCACACAAAAATAGTACTACCTGCTGCCTGCTTCTATGCTGATGCATGCATGGCTCTTTTAACAGTCAAATCCCCCCCCCCCCCACCCCCCATTTGAGGTGGCACCAGTGATGGTCCTGGCTCACATGGTGAATAGAAAGAAACGAGCGAGAAATGAGAAGAAAAACGAGAAAAGAAACAGGAAACGAGAAGAGAAATGAGAAATGAAACGAGAAAAGAAACTAAGAAACGAGAAAAAAATTGATTAAACAAGAAAAGAAAGGAAAAGAAAAGAAAAGAAAGAGGAAAGAAAAAGAAATGAGAAAAAAGAGAAAAGAAGCATGAAAAGAAGCAAAAAATAACGAGAAAAGAAGAGAACAAAAACGAGAAAAGAAACAAGAAGAGAACAGAAACGAGAAAAGAAACAAAAGAATCAAGAGGGAAAAAAGAAATGAGAAGAAACAAGATTAAATTTAGGTTAATATTTCTTAGAGAACTGAACCTCGTGGAAAAGAATATTTGACATCTTGATAGCTCTTTTTTGAGTTATGTAAAAATGTGGGCACGATGATCCTTCAGGTAGAAATAATTGGGAAGCATCAAGACTTTCCATAAAGTAAAACATTCTCTTATAATCCCACGGAAAGAGTGAATGACAGGCATTTTTATAACCCAGAGAACAGTCTATGACAACCAAATTAAAACGAGTAGCATGTCCAGAGAGATGGAGACAGACATAATGAACAGGGAGAAAATAAATATTATTATCGTGTCATACACTGTTGGTAGAGCCCACAGCTATTAGAAGACACATCACATGTGCCATGTGACCATCTCATGCTGTTGCTTGTAGAGCTTTTAGAATGATTAAAGAGTTACAGTAGTTCACCCCAAAATGAAAATGATGTCATTAATGACTCACCCTCGTGTCATTCCAAGCCTGTTAAACCTCTGTTCATCTTCGGAATACAGTTTAAGATATTTTAGATTTAGTCCGAGAGTTTTCTGTCCCTCCTTTGAAAATGTATGTACGGTATACTGTCCTTGTCCAGAAAGGAAATAAAGACATCATAAAAGTATTCCATGTGAAATCAGTGGGTTAGTTAGAATGTTTTGAAGCATCGAAAATACATTTTGATCCAAAAATAACAAAAACTATGACTTTATTAAACATTGTTTTGTCTTCCGTTTCTGTCCGCAGTGACGCTGGTGATGCTGGTAAGATGCTGCTATTGTGTTCTCTGGTAACCAGTAACCAAAGAACACATCAGCAGTGTCTTGCATCACCAGCGTCATTGCAGACTCGTGAACACAGAACCAGAAGAGAATACAATGATGAATAAAGTCGTAATTTTTGTTATTTTTGGACCAAATGTATTTCCGATGTTTCAAAAGGACAGTATGGGTACATGCATTTTCAGTGGGGACAGAAAACTCTCGGACTAAATCTAAAATATCTTAAACTGTGGAAAGAACTTACTGTACGAAGATGAACGGGAGGTCTTACTGGCTTGGAACGACATGAGGGTGAGTCATTAATGACATAATTTTCATTTTTTGGGTGAACTAACCCTTTAAATCTGTCCACAAACTTGTGTTGCTGCATTGCACAGTAATGAGAGGCAGCACACATCAATCACTGACCTCAAACATGCCCAAAATATCATCTGTGCTCTGAATTATGCTATAAACCTTTTTCTGTATGATGCATAAACATTTATATTGAGAAATGATGGGGGATTTACCACAAATGCATTGGATCCTAAAAACTATAATGAAACTCTGTTTAATCATCTGTTAAATGCTATGTGGTTGCTAGGGTATTCTGGGTGGTTGCTAAGTTGTTCTTGCTGGCCCAAGACAAGAAGATATATTTAAAACTAATAATAATTTACAGTAATACTGTTTTTGTCTTTGATGAACATAAGAATTTTCTTACAAAACCTTTAAAATTCTTTAAAAATCCCAAACTTTTCAACATTAGTGTACATGCACAAATGTAGAAATGTGTATCTGTCTTTGTGTATAAGGAGATTAAACTGGCAGGGTGTTAAAAGAGTTTCATTCTGACACACACCACATGGCTAAACTGCAGATTTTAACAAGCCAGCTCATTTCCTGTGCGATTGGGCCCTTACCAGGCCCCAACCAGGCCTCTTCTGAACCCATTTAGCGTTCCAATAAAAAGTAGAAAGCCCATGTGGCACACTAAGGCCGTGTTTGACACCATGCGGTCAGAGATCAAGCACTCTGACGGGGCTAATGAGGATGAATGGGGGCCAGGGCACCTCCAAGACGCCTCTCCTTAAGCCCAACTGCCATTACTTAAGGCAACACCATTAATGTGAAACGCCCCCATTCCATTTAGCAGCCAAATTAAAGCTGTCTGACATGAGGTGGTGAAAAAAAATAATAAAAAATAATACGATTTCTATGCCAACGTAAAGTTTTTTTTAATAGGAACTTGTTTCCATTTCGGGGTACAACAGTAATGACTGAACACTTTACTATTGGTAGTGGAAGGGAGGTGATATAAGGGGGAAATAAATGATCAGACAAAACCCTTTAAAATAACGTGTCCCTAACGAGTATAGTGTGTGGTTAATCTTAAACTGTATTGCAGAGATTTCTGTTCTCATATACCATCTGGTGTCTGATAACACCCCACGGTCTTCAAATGAATTTATAAAAGGCTGTTATTTGATATGACTAGTTACACTAAATGGCTTTACTGATTCTCAGATGACTCTGGCAGGCACTCAATGATCTCACTGTGCCAAAGTCTGACTTAAATCCATCTTACTTATCTCTACAGTTTTAAAGTTTTACATTAATGATTTGTAATTCAAACACACTCATACAGAAAGGTTCTACAAAGTCCAGTGTAATAATAATAATAATAAAAAAAATCAGCTGGGATCAAAACATTTGTTCAGTCAATTATATTATGTTGCTCTATATGCCCTTGTGTTCTTCCTTTTACACAGACACAATATTTTAAATCAAATGACAATTGGCTACAATGAAAAGCATTTAATGTATCCTGTATTTTACTTAAAGAATAACAAATAATTGTTGAAATTTTAAATCAAACCTCAGTATTATTTACAGTAGTACTGTAAATAGTCTGTCAGACAACAAAACATGTCAACACACTAACACTATACAGTACATGTTACACGAAGAAGATGATAAGGGAGAGTTCAAAAAGGTTTCAATAAACAAAACGGTATTTTAATGAAAACAAACTCAGATAATCTATGAAGAGGAAGGCAACATAAGACCGTGTGTAACACGCACACAAACAATACCTGACAAACACAGAATGAAGTTGAGAAACTTAAATAGACAGTGATAATGTGGAGATGACGAACAGGTGTGATGGGAACAGAGTGTCCATGGGAACTGATGACTGGTGGGAAACTCAAACAAAGGAACATGATTGAAAACAAAACTTAAAGTCCATGAAAGGAAAACTAAAGATAAATGAGTCCAGATAACTGTGACAGAACTCCCCCTCCCAGTAGGCACGACAATCAAGGGCGTCTGACGGCACAGACTCTGAGCCCAGCCAATGTGGCATGGAGGCTGACACCAACTGGGGGATGGCCAATGGATCCCAGGCACAAACGGAGAGGAGCTTAGGATGCCACTGCAACGATCGTCGGAGGAGGACTGCCCAAGGGCTGAGGAGATGCAGGTGTGATGGAGGGCCGAGGCGTACCCGAAGGAAAAGAGGAGCCCTTTGCAGCCGTAGGAGTGGAGGAACATGACCAAGGTGGAGCCGGTGGGACAAAGGAACCCGCTGGAGCCGCAAGGCTGAGGGTGTCTGATGGAGCCGAAGGTTGGAGAAGCCAAGGTGGAGCTAATAGGTAGACTGGCTGAGACGGAGCAAGACGATCTGAGGCCTGAGGTGGAGCCACTGGTTCAATGTGCTCGCGGTGGTTGCAGAACCTGAGGCTTGACATGACTGTTTGGCATTGCAGGAGATGCAGAAGGGCTGACAACCTCCAGCAGAGCCGGGGCTGGAGGACTGGCTGAGCAGGGTGGTGACGAGACAGATGAAGGCTATAAAGAGTCGAAGGTAACAATACATTGTTCATGAAGGTGTCTGTGCTGTCCAGAAAAAGCGATGAAGGTTCAGAGGAAACAGGAAGAAAGTTCATACAGTCAGTGGTGCTGTCTAGAAACAGTGTTGAAAATTCCGAAATGGGGTGGCATAGGGTGGGAGACGATACTTCTGCGCTGAAGTCAATCAGCCAGTCCTCAGTCTAAAATCCACCAAAATGCCCACAGCCACTGATATCGTGGGCTCACACTTTTGGTCAGACTCACTAGAGGGCTCCTTTTCCGGGGGGCGAAATTTCACTCTGACCTTTTATCTTCGGGCACTGGCTGAAGTGTCGCAGCAGGTGGCAGCTCTCCGTCTTCGGGGGCTCACAAGTTTCATCCGTGGTTGATGGTGGTGGACTCTGGGTCTGACTGTGTTCTGGACAGGGAGTAAACACTCTCTTTTCCTATTTAGCACCAAATCTCTGGAACAGTCTCCCTAACATTTTCCAGGAAGTAGACACACTCTGTCAGTTCAAATCTAGACTAAAAACACACCTCTTTGGCCCAGCATACACATGACACACTATAGACTTCCTTAATTCAAAATTAGGCTGTGTAGTTTAAATCAGCTGGAACCGGAACACATCCCGTCCGTAGGTATATCATAAGAAAGATGGTGTCTACGCTAATATTAGTCTCTCTGTTTATCCCGAGGGACCGTCTATGGTGGACCTGCGCCTGGACCCATCCCAACTCATCCTGAAGTGCCAGCCTCATCAGCCTGTGAAGGCCTCATCGACACGACAGCCATCGGCAACTGATCCTCAACAACTCGTCTCCCCACTGGCGTGATTACTTTGACTTCCAAACATATGTAAATTGATAAATACTCTAAATTTTTCTGATCCAATCTGACTTGTAATGCTGCCCGAATCATACATTGTTCCTTCGTTGACCAGAGGAGAACTGGGTTAACTGGGTTCGCCCCAATCCAGAACTGTGACTGCAGGGTCGCGTCGTCAACAGGGCTGGTGACGGCAAGAAGGCAGAATTGTCCA